ATGCTTCTCACAGCTCTATTTTGTGTTAAAATAAACTTTTGGGAAAAATTGTCGGTAACCATTTGTGTTTATTGTAAAGTTGGTCTTAAAACTTGGTAAGATGGACAGTTTTTGCAGTGTAAATAAGACCTTAATTTTGGATTGATGAATTTAATGCTTTTTAAGACTTTTTAAAAATCTGTGGGAACCCTAGCCTTATTGTCAACAACACTCAGAATCTGAGTCATTCAGAAACGTTGTGTTTTAGTGTGTAAGACCAGTATGAGCAGAGAGTTAGCACACACGCAGGTGGTGATGTTTTCACCACTCCRGTCCTGGTTGTGACTGACAGTAAGGTGGAACAAACTGATCCAGTTCTTGGTGGGAATCTGGTGCAACTCACCTGTCTCCAGCTATTCCCTGCGTCCGATGACACAAACATACCGACGTTGTTGTACGACAGCTCTGCTCCGATATTTCCTGCAGTGGAAAATGACAGAAYGTGTTGTGTGTGTGTGATCAGCTGAAGCATAATGAGGTCACACAGATAAGACGTTACATGCACCACATCGTGTCTAAGATTGATAGTTTCTGGCTCGCTTCCCGRATCAGCTTCCCTAATTTAATTTGCTCAGGTCCAGCTCTATGGAGATATATATTTGTGCACACGTCCACGTGTGAAGAGGAGGACACGTCCCTCTCTTTCAGTACTATTCAGTCGTCCTGAGCTTTATCAAGTGGCTGTGCAGTGACTGGACCGGTTTGTTGGTTTATCTGGGCCACGGCTCAGGAAGGAGGCACGTGTTTGATCTGGATGCTGTTTGTCATGTTGGTAAAATAATCACTGCACCAGCTGACGTCTTAAAAGGAGCAGCGGGCAAAGTGAATCACAGTGACACACACACACACACACACACAGATATACGTACAACCCTGCAGCCAAGGCGCCCAAGCTTTCTGCTTAGTCAACGTTTTTACACAACAAAGTAAAAAAAATAAAAAAGTAAAAACAGAGCTAATCATAAATGTGCACACTCTCATCAGAAAAAGCAGACTTGTGCTACCATTTCAATTTGTCTTTATTCCTTTGTATCTGCAGAAACATCAGTGAGGGCCTTCCTCCATATGCATATTCCAACACATACTTCATGATTATTCCTGTCTCTAATGCAGGGAGAAACATGATCCACTACATAGTTCTTATGCAGGAAGTGAAGTGAGTTCTTCTAGTTGAAGCAAAAAGAGGAGCTGAGGCAGTCAGGTTTCTGTTGATGAAAATATGAACTGCAGATTAGTCACAATCTAAAACTGGAAAAACTGTCAAAGGGGCAATATCATGTAAAATCAACTTTTTTGAGTTTTATATCATGTTATGTTATACTCTCATAAAAAAAACATGTCCCTTATAAATAGTTTATAGATGGGTTATTAATTCATCTGTAAAGACTTTATAAAACATTATTAAGTGTTTATTATGCATTAATGAAGGACAAAAAAGAGGCAAAACTATCGGGTTTCTTGCCAAATAGTGAGTCTAATCTGTTCATAWATCAAAGGGGTAATATCATGTAAAATCATTCATGCATGTTTGAGAAATCCTGCAGTGTTTTTATGAAGCCATGCTGAGGAGCAAAACGACAGGTGGGGACCAGAAACACCTTTTGGTACCAGAAACGCCCCTGGGACGTGTCTTTAAGACGAACGTCCTCATGGCAGAGCGCACCCCCTCCCGCCTCTCCCCACACACCCCGCCCATGACTCCTGCAGGCTCTCGGGTCAAAGTGAAAGTAAAACCTAACTGTCTGCTGAGCTCTCAACATTAGTTCTCACTCAGGGAAGCTCTTTTCAGATTAAAAATACCTTTGAGGAAATGTATTTTCAGATGCCAAGTAAACTGCATCATGGCAGCCCCCCCACCCCTGCGAGCGCGACCCCCTCCCCGCACCGAAATGGGCAAAACGGAAGGGGAAGATGGTTCTTAGGCGTTTAGAAGAGGAAGTGATGAGAAGATAAGTTTATTTGGCATTTTAATAACAACTAAAGGTGACAGATACTTTATTAATGTATAGTATTTAAATATATGCCTGAGAAACACATAATATAGGCCCTTTAATATTTTAAAATGATTCCACTATTTTCAGTCCCAGTTTTTCACAGACTGCTGAACCTCTGTCCATCTTTACTGCTGAGATTCAGTTTCTCTGAGCTCCTACTCACACCTGATAGTCCGGTAGACTCGGGTCAACTGGGGACCAAAACTGTAAGATTTGTTTTCTTTTTCAGCTGGTGTGGTTCACATTCACACTGCTCTGTGTCAAACTGACTAAACCCAACAATGAGCTCAGCATAAAGGGAAGAAGAGGTGGAACCACGGAGAATATTGTTTTATTTTGGAGTGGTCTCCGGTCCGCTTGGCGTTCACACATGAAATCAAACCCAGAGTTCACTTTAACYGAACAGAGACCTAGGGTTTCARGTGGACCAGACTTTGCTTTGTGGTCCACATAAGGTAGRAACTTTGATGAAATTTTCTAACTTATTTTAGAGCTRGCCATAATATGTATGTATAAGGTTTGATTGTAAATTGTAAAAATTGGGAAATTTGTACAATTGTATGTACATRCAGTACAATCCCTAATATTAGAGTGAAAAAAATCCCCCACTCCATCTGTTCTGCGATAGTTAAATCTCTTCTTTTTATGTACTTATTTTTAAACGGTGCTGTCACCTTATGTTAACGAGGAAGGGAGGGGTGGACAGAAAGGAAGTCAAATAAAACCCAGATACACTTCAGGTGTTTTGGAAAGTGGGTTTATGTGTGAACRTCTGCAGTTTTTTTWATTTWATTTTATTTTRTTTTTTGCTAACAGGTGTGTCGTCTCCTCTCCTTTAAATGTGTTTGGAACACGGCTGTGATCGTTGCCGTACTTTCAGGGAGGGACCATATGTCCCTTGTCGCTTCACCCCCMAAAAATATTTTCTTTACGAGGTGAAACTCTCAGAAGTTGATGCTGCTCATTGTGTGAGCATTCACCAGATTCTTTAATTTCCTGCACGAGTCTGAAGATCCGGGTGTTTATTAATACAAACACAGATACCTTTTTTTATTTTGCACTCTTTCATCAGAGATGGAAAAACCTCCAGTGGTCACAGAAATAACTTCAAACGAGCAGTAAADCAGTTGTCCACAGGGACATGTCCAACTCAGGTGTGTCCTGTGATCATGAAATTGTGAAACTGATTGTATAAGGTTTTATGTTGTGATCCAAAACTGTTTATTTTTTATAAATCGGACCACCCTTTAAGGATTTAGAGGTCATTGAATGTTGAAAATTAGGAAGTAAGTGCTACATTTACRTCCATTACACAATAAAAACAGTCCTGTGAACATCACAATTTCACAACAATGTTCCAAACCAAAGCAGAAAACAAACTAGATAAAATATTTAAATAGATTCAAAATGATATGAGGGGTCTAAGTGTAAAAAGAGTGACTGAAGATAAAAGCCTGACCCACGCTCTGCTGGGGTTGAACACTACATCAGAGCTCGATTACACGCTCACTCCTCCCCAAACTAACTGGACTTTCCAGGCAAACGAAGTAGAAGAAGAAGAAACTGGACTGAACAGGGCGGGTGTGAACACACCCTGAACTGATTAGAATCATTCTATGTTCCTCCAGCTGCTTCCTGTTGGTATTCCTCACTAAAACACTGAATTTTTGAGATTTGCAAATAATTTATTTGCCTCATCAAYAACAATCTACTGTTTTAGGTTTGTGGTTTTATTTAGTTCTAGGTGCATTAACTCGCAGGTTTAGTGGTTCTGCTCACCTGTGGCCACTATGATTCCAGGAGCTGAACTCTTGCTGGAGATCGTTCCGGACACATACGGATTCTCTGACATTTGCAGTTGAAGATGAAGGGAACAAAACGGCTGAAAAGTGAATAAAAACATATTTTTATGATTATATTTAAATAAAACGTCATCTTCTTTATGTAACTGGGACAGATAGAAGCTCATATCTGTTAGTTTTATCCATTAGACTTCCAGAAAAGAAGAAGTTGTGCTTTCAGAAGTTTTGCTAATTGCATTTTATCTGTTATTAATACAAAGAGCAATGAGATTTGCATYAAAGTGTGAAGCCAAGCCTGGAAGGCAACAGAATCTAATTCCAACTGTTGCGCAGCAGAACAACAACGTGCTTTCCTCGTGGCAGCAGACAGCGTGTCACCAGAGTGAGGACATGAAAGCAGCAGGACTGAACAGGGTAATCAAAAGGAATCTATGGCAGTAATTAAAATGKCACATGAATGTGCAATCACAGGAAACCTGGAAGCCTCACCGCGTGGCCCTGAAATCACCTCTTAAGCAGCGTGAAGCCTTGCTAATGTCTCCAAACATGATTCCTGCTAACAGCCAGCCTGTTAGTTTGACTTGTAGGGAGGCTGTCTAATGAGGACAGAATGTTAACATATGCAGTCGATCTGGATCCATCCTCTGCCTCCTCCTCTCATCTCATGATGWTCTGTGCTCTCGTGTCGGCCCGACGGGTCGAGGCAGACGGCGTCCCACCGTGAGCCGCGCTTCTGTTGGAAGACTCTCTGTTGTCGGCCGTGTTTTCGAGAGCTGATACAATCCGTTGGTTTCTGACGCGCCACTTTTATTTACAAGTTGGCATCTTACACCAACCCATTCTCACTCCCAAGTCGTCACATATTGAATGACGCTTTTCCAAAGTTCCCTCTGCGTCTGATTTTGATGCGTCGGGTACTCCCCTTTCGTCATTTTTTGACGAGATGGGGCGGATGAAAAAAATGATGGAAGTGTAGAAAATGCACAAAAACTGTCGTTCCAAAGCCTAAAATTACCTTTATTCACTTTAGACATCCTGTCCCTGACCCTAGTACCTAAAATTAACCATTAACCCTGATACCTAA